CGATTCCACCCCCCCATTTCGGCACACCCCTCACGAGTTTCGTGGCCCGATAGGGTGCTCCGCCGAAGGCCCCAGTGGCAGGGTCCGCATGCAGTTCTACTCCCCATTTCGGCGCACCCCTTGCACGTTCCGCGGCCCCATAGGGTGCTCCACCGACGGCTCTGGTGGCAGCGTCCGCATGGCGTACCCGTACCAATTTTGGCACACCTGTCACACGCGTCGTGACCCCAGAGAGGTTCACCGAGGTCGATACCCACAACTGCGTCACTCACAACTGCACATGGTTGGGTTCCTCGCCAGGATAATTTTATTTGTGTGTATTTATTTGTGTGTCCCAGGGCCCCTCCATAGGGGGCGGGAAGCGGGAAGACAGGACCGCGCCGAAAGGGGGAGCGGCGTGGGCCAGGGGGGCCACTGGGGCGGGGCGGGCGCCGAAACCAGATGGCCTACGAGGCGCATGTCGCGATGGCGGGGCAAGGCGCCGCAGGAGCGCGGCAGCGTCCAGCGCGCCGGTGACCAGTGGACGGATGCGAGGTCTGAGAACCAGGCAGAGGGCGAGGACCCTGGTGGGGGCACCAAGGTCGCCCAGCCGGCATGGGGCCCGGCGCAGAAGTCGTTAGTGCCACAGGCGGGGCCTGGGCAAAACCTGCAGAAGGCCAGCGAACCCGGGCCGTAGCGGGAGGAAGCGGCGGCGGGGCAGGGCACCCTCGGGGCCGGAGTGGGGGGGGGGCCCAGGGGCCGAAGGCAGGCGGCAAGTCCAGCCTGCCTAGGCGCGGGCCAGCCGCCCCCCGGGAGGGGCGGCGCCCGGGCGGAGGCAAGGAGGCCACAAAGCAGCCACCCCGCGCGGTAGCAAGGAGCCCCCGAGGAGAAGCACGACGGCCGGCGAAGCGGCGCAGTGCACGGGGGGGCACCGTGGACAGCCGCAGGGCCAGGAGAGCATGCGTGAAGAGCAGATTCCGAGCGGAAGGTGGAGGTCGGCGGGGGGGGGCGCCGAACAGATGCATGCGGCGAAAGGAGAGCCGCAAAGGCAAGGGTGGAGGAGGGCAGACGGCCAAGTGGGCCACTGCCCAAGTCCTGCAGATGATTCAGAATAGGTCCCAGTGGTGCGGCAGCTGCGGAGGGCTACCAGCGGTGGCTGCTCGAGGCTGACCAGGGCTGACGAGTGGGGTCGTTGTTGGGCCAGGAGGAGTCGGCAGGGCGCTTGTCTTTCCCCTGCGGCGAGGGCCTCTTCCCCTTGCCCTTGGCAAGCTCAGCACTCTGTCTCCTCTCGTCAAGTTCTCGATGCCACTCAGAGTCCCGATCGACTCGGATGCCCTTGTACCTGCAAAGGCCGCGGACATCGTAGTTGGACTGGCTGGGCTCACGTACGAAGCTCTGGCAAAATTCAGCCAGGTGCCGCTTGGGGTCCATGGTGGAGTGCTGTCTCCTCTCATGGTCACAGACGGCATTCCAGCCGATCGCCAGCATGGGGCCGCGTTCCTTTTTGAGGCCTTTGACCATCTCCTGCCAGTCCTCCCTCGATTTGGTATCACAGTTCTGGGTGGGGTGCCGCGCCACCTCGTGCCGCGGCTCGCAATAGAGCGGATCCGTGGCATCGCATCGGGTCGGAGGCATTGGGTCGGGGGGCGGTTGCCAAGACGTTGGCTCCTGCCGCGGAGGCGGAGTTCGCTCCGCTGTCCCATCTGCGCCACCTTCTGGAAGCGCCCGGGTCGTGTTGCTCATCGCTCCCGGGGGTCTCTGCGCGGCGGCTCCTCCGCGGCAGTCAGTCAGCAGGGCGCCGGCGCCGAGCTGCTCGTCCACTCCCAGGAAATCATGGGAAAATATGGGAAGTGGGGGGGAAGACAAAAACCCAGAAAACATGGGAGAAGATGGGGAGTCCTTTTATTTGTATGTATTTATTTGTGTGTCCCAGGGCCCCTTCAGAGGGGGCCACGCGAGCAGACGTCTGAGAGGAGCTACTTGGGCCACGTCGCCTCTCGGAGTGGCTGCTTGCTGGGCTGCCAGTGGGAGGGAGGTCGCTCCTGGGGGCCCCAGTCGCAGGCGGATGCATCGGAGCGTCCACGAGACGCCGGGGGGGCTTGAGCTGCCGTCGCCATGGCCACGCCCCGCCTCTGGGGAGTTTCCTGGCAGTGCAGCCGGGCGCGCGCCCCCCTCCGTTGGCGGCGGTCGCCGCCGATCTGCGCCTCGCAGGAGGGGGCGGGCGGGCTGCCGTCAGGCCGGTCGGGGCTCGGCCGAGGTGGTGCTGGGGGGGGCGCGGGGCAATGCTGCTGGGCTGCGCAGGGCAATGCTGCGGGGCTGGCTGGGCCCAGGCTCTTCCTTTGGCTCTGCGTTCTGGGGGCAGCCTGCTGCCGCCTGCGTGGGAGCGCCTGGCCGCGCCAGTGAGGGCTAGCTTCCTCCTTGCCGCTGTCTGTCGGTGCCCGCGCGCCAGCGGGTGTTGAATCGACGTGATCCCTTTATAGCTCAGGTAGCCGAGCAGGATGTCCTGGCTGTACCGAGCAGGGTCTCGTCCCTTCACGGGTGCTCGGGGGTCGTGTTTGCTGCGGTGCATACCCTTTTCGTCAGGTCCCTTGTGGGGGCTGGGGGGGGGGCTTGGGGGGGCCCTGGCGGTGAAGGTGGCCGACCAGCAGGGCCAGGGTGGCACGCGCGCCGCCTCGCTGGGCTCCCAGGGGGGGCCCAGAGGGTGGGGTGGAATCGCCGTAGACGGAGGCGAGGCATTCCTGACAGTTTGCGGCGGGCCATGCCCTGGGGTCTTGAAGGCGCGCTCATGCATTTCCCGGGCCTGCGAAGCGAGGGGGGCGCGTTCTCCTTCGTCCGTGCCCTCCAGCGCTCGCCGTCCTCCGCGAGAAAGGCTGATCGGGCAAACGTCAGCATGAAGTGCGCGATTGTATTGTCCGCACTTCCGCGCGCAGAGTCCAGATGAATGTGCAGCGCGGCTACTGGAGCCGCAATGTCCCTTGCCCTATGGTTGGCGCAGGTCGGTGGGTCAACGCAGGGAAGTCCATCCAGGAGGCGGACTGGGGGCCGCGCCGGCGGTGTTGACCGTCTTGCGTGGGCGTCTCCGTCTGTCCTCCGTGCTGAGGCTGAACAGTTAGGCCATGGTCGCGTGCGGACGCGGGGGCTGCGGGGGTCGACGCGGCGGCGTTCCGGCGTTGCCCTGCCGCGACGGGTAGAGGATAGCTGCGTGTCTCGGCGGCTGCGGCTTGTCTGGCGCTGTCGCGAGGATGCTGGGCTGCTGCCTGGGGAGTGGCTGGTGAGCGCGGAGGTCGACCTGCTCCTGGGTGGCCTGCCAGCGCTGCCCAGCCTGTTGGCGCCCAGGCTGCGAGGCCGTCGGCGGGTCGGACTGCGACTCTGGGGGCGCTGCCGCTGTGGGGCGGGCGGGGCTGTAGCGCCTGCGGCCCTTGCGTCCTACCGGGGTGCGCCCGCCGTCGCTGGCGTGGGGGCCCAGGCGCCTAAGGAGGGTCTGGTAGCTGATCGTCGACGGGAGGCGGAGGCAGGCTGCCCTGTGAGCGCGATTGCGAAGGGTCAACCGACGCAGGGAGAGGGGCGCAGCCTTGGGGAAGAGGGCGCGCCCATCCCTCTCGAGGACGGCCCTGGCCTGGCTTGGGCGGGCGCCCCGCAGGTGTGCGAGACTGTCCTCGCAGAACCACGTGTCGTTCCGTCGTGTGCTGGCGAACGCTTGCGCGCCTGCATGGAAGAGCGGGTGCCCGTGGCACAGCTGGAGCTGTAGATCCTTGCCAGGGCGGAAGATGAACGTGCCCAACGGGGTATCTCCGCAACGCACGCATGCACGCACGCACGCACGCGCGCACGCGCGCGCGCACGCACGCACGCGCGCACGCACACTTACACACACACACACTCACACTCATACACACTCACACTCGCACTCGCACTCACTCACACACATTCACACTCACACTCCACACTCACACTCACACTCACACTCACACTCACACTCAAACTCACTCTCACGCACACAGACACACACATGTATACATACGTGCATACATACACACATACACACACTCACACTCACGCACACAGACACACATACACACATATATACATACATACATACATACAAACATACATACATACATACATACATACATACATACGTACGTACGTACGTACGTACGGACGCACGTACATACATACATACATACATCCATACATACATACATGCATACATACATACATACATGCATGCATGCATGCATGCATACATACATACATTCATCCATCCATCCATCTATCCATCCATCCATCCATCCATCCATACATACATATACATACACATACACATACACATACACATACACATACATACGTACATACATACATACATACATACATACATGCATGCATACATACATACATACATACACACATGCATACATACACTCACACTCACGCACACAGACACACACATACATGCATGTATGCATACATACATCCATACATTCATACATACACGCATTCATGCATACATACGTACATACATGCATGCATGCATGCATGCAGGCATGCATGCAGGCATACGTACATACATGCATACATACATACACACATACATGCACACACATACACACACTCATACATACAACCATACGCACGTACGTACATACGTACATACGTACATACGTACATACTTACATACGTACATACGTACATACGTACATACGTACATACATACATACATACATACATACATACATACATTCATACATACATACATACGTACGCACGTACGTACGTACACGCATACATATCTACCTACCTACCTACCTACCTACACGCATACATGCATGCATGCATACATACACACATACATACATACATGCATCCATACATACATGCATACATACATTCATACCTACCTACCTACCTACATGCATACGTACACACATACATACATACATGCACGCACACACACACTCACACACACATACACACACGCTCGCGGACACTCACGCACGCACACGCGCGCGCGTACATAATTATACAGTCGTTTGCGGCGGAAGACCGCTAAGTACATAGTGATGCATTCGCTGCGGCGGCGCTGGCCGCGCGCCCGCGGGGACCCGTCGGCCCCTCTGTCGCGCAGGCAGCTCTGGCGCGCCCTGCGCGGGCGGGCGCCCAGCTCGGCCGAGGGCAGCAGGGCAGCTTCGGACCCGCCTGGCGCGGCCGAGGGGCGCGGCGCGCCCGCCCAGCGCGGGGCCCCGGCGGCGGGGCGCGGCCCTGCGGCGGGTCTGCTTGGGCCCCTGGCAGGGCAGCCTGCCCTGGGCAGCTGCGCACCTCGGTGCGATTCGAAACGGGTACGGAAAGCGCGGGTGCGCAGACTGGCAGCAGTTCCTTCTGGCCTCCCAGATGGGGTCGGAGCGGATGGGGTCGGAGGGCCGCGCCGCATCGCCGATGCATCGGCGATGCGGTTCGATGTGGAGCCAGGTCTTTTCCACGCTGGCGTCACCGGATGCACCGACGACGTCGCCGACGCATCGCTTGTGCATCGCCGATGCATCGCCGATGCGTTTCCGATGCGTCGCCGATGTATCGGCGATGTGGCGCGCCGACCCCACCTCCTCCGACCCCATCTTGGAGGCCTCTAGTTCCTGTCCGATCCGAGCAGGATTCGTCGTCGGCGTCGCCGCGGGCGTGGTACATTTGGGACAAGAGGTCGCATGTGCCGCATCGGCCGCTGTCGGGTAGGGACAGCAGCTGTTGTTGGGTATCGTATTCCTTTTTTCCGTACCCGTGCCGGGCGTGCGCAGCATCGGGCAGCGGTCACAGATCAAAAAAGGCGGGCGGGCAGGGACCGACCAGCTTCGGAGGCCTGGAGGTCAGCACCAGCACCAGGATCAGCGGTGTGCCTCCACCGAGGGAAGGTGATCCCGATCTCGGTGATGGTAATATTCGAGCCTCCTGGTTTTCGTTTTCGGGCGTTTCGGATGTTTCCAAAGTCTCGGGGGTTTCTTCGGAAGTTCTCCAGGGTTTTCGAGACGTGGGGGTTGACGGGGATATGTTCAGGGGGGAACGCAGGGGCCCAAGATTGCCAAGCCATCGCCGAGGCAAAGGCGCCCGATATTCAGAAGTTCAGAGTATTTTGTTGACTATGTTTCATTCTTCCTCCAAAGTCCGCATGTAAGGGGACGTATGTATCGGTCGATGTCCCCCTGAGCTGGACCTCCCCTTGACGCTGCCACTCGCTCATGCGCCTCTGCCTCCTCCGGCCTGCGCTGGCGTCGGCGTCGGCGTCGATGCCGAACATCGACGCCGTCGTCGTCGCCGCCGCCGGATAGCACTCCTAGAGATAAGTCGGGCATGTCCCTCTACAGGAGGAATCTATACGCAAGTAGTGAGAACACAGTCGGGGGACGATTTTTCGACAGTTCTGGACCATTTTGAAGCGTTGTTGGACTATGTTGCAGCTTTCGTCTGAAATCCGCCTGCAGGGGGACATGCCCGCCCCAATCCTAGAGGCGCTTCCTGTCGGAGCCGTGCCGCCCCTGTGCCAGGCAGCGCTGCTGCTTCTCTTGGCCGTCCTGCCTCTGCAGCCACCGGGCCGTGTGGATTTCAAAAGGGCGGTTGCCGACCCTCCCAGACCTCTGCCGTCCCGGAACCCAAACAGGGTGGAGGCTTTTTCTGGAGCGTGTCTCTTGATTGCTTGGGGCCTAATGGGCGTTATAGCCCCCGGCCCCCCCTCCCCCCTTCCCATAACGTAACGCCCCGCCCCCCCCCAAGTGCGCTCCGGGCACTGCCGCCGTGCGCGCGCCGGGGGGGAGGCGTTGCATTATACCCCCCCTGGCCCCTCCCCGCACCCCCCCATGATATGCCCATTATCGCCTCACAAAAAAACGCGCTCCTGCCGTTTCCGGCCACCTGGGCTCCAGGACCGTCCGACAACGACCTCCCGAGGGTTCTTCGTTGCAGATTTTGGGACGACGGCCCAGCCCCCCGGAGAAGTGTCGGGGCCCGCGGATTGAGAGCATCGAGACAGCCGATGTCTGGGTTGGCGCTACCAAGCAGTACAAAGTCCTACCTCGCGTGCTCTTCCCTTTGTGCACTCCACTCCAGCTGCCGGCCAGTCTGGTACACGTTGGCAGCGGGGGTGCTCCAAAGCTACGGTGGGCTTAATCGCTTAGCCCCTTTTTCAGAAATGCAGAGTGCATCAATGTGTGTGAGAGAGAGAGAGAGAGAGAACGGCCCTTCCCGAGGGCTAGGACGACCGCGCCATGTTGAAAGGGACTCGCCCTCCATCCATGTAACTGAAGCAAGCTTTTGAAACTAATGTGCGCGGCGCTGAGGTGACAGCCCAATTTGGAAAAAGAGCCGCCCTCCGGACCCCATTTTGAAAATAACCCCCCATCCAATCTGTGTAATTTTTGCGAGCCTTTTTGACGAGTGTGCGCGGCTCTACGGCGAGAGCCCCATTTTGAAAACCACCTGTGCTCCATCCTTGTAGATGAGCACAGCTTCGAACACGAATGTGCGCGGTGCTAGGGCGAGAGCTTTATTGTGAAAGGACCCCCCTTCCATCCGTGTGACTGTTGCGAGGTGTAAGCTTCATGATCATAATGGATCCGCAGGCGAAACGCCTGGCCCGCCTTACCAGCACTTCTTGGGTTCCGATAGGGAGGAGTTATCTGATCGAAAACAGATAAAGGATGAGGATGAGGAGGATAATACCGAGGAGGATGCGAGGGAGGAGGAGGAGGAGGAGGAGGAGGAGGAGGAGGAGGAGGAGGAGGAGGAGGGAGAGGAGGAGGAGGAGACCAAGGAGGAAGAAGCGCGGATGAGGGCTGTCTTGGGTCTCTCGTCGGGTGTTTGTGGCTTTCTATCTGAGGGGCCTTTGAGAGTGCTTTTTAACCCTCTGGGCCCGTAACGCGCTTTATGCCCCCCCTCCCTCCCCCCCTAAACGTAACGCCCGCCCCCCCCCCGCCTCCAGCACTGCCGCAGTGCGCGCACGCAGCACAGTCTCGCAATGTTCGGTCGCAGCGCCTGCGTTTCATCGCAGGCCATTGTGGCGCTCTCATGCTAGTTGCTACTGTGGTGCTCGCGGGCTACCATGGTGCTCTCGGGCTGCTGGTGTTCAAGGGCTGGTGTCACTTTCACAGGCTCATTGCCCGTACTTGCAGACATGGTGCTGCGCTCACAGGCTATTGTTGCACTTGCAGGGTCCGGCATGTTTTTACGCATGCGCGCGGAGTTCAATCGGTAACCTGGTGCTGGCAGGGTAGCATCAGTTGTAGTAGTGGTATTGGTGACAGAAACAGCGGCAACGGGAGTATCAGTAGCAGTGGTACCAGGAGGGGAGGGAGGATGGAGGCAGGGTGGAGGGGGACGGGGTGGGCGTAGTCGTCATAATCGTCGTCGTGGTGGTCTTGTGGTCGTGTTGATAGTTGCTGTGACTGTTGTAGCCGTCGTCGTCGTCGTCAGAATCGTCGTGGTCTTCGGATCCGTCTTGGTCGTAGCGGCAGTCGTCGTAGTCTGCGTGTGATCGTCATTCTGATCGTTGTCGTGACTATCGTAATTGTCGTAGTCTTGGTAATCCTCTTGGTCGTCGACTTAGTCGTCGTGATCATCCTTCCGGTCGTCATCGTGGTCGTCGTCGTGTGGTCGTCAGAAAATATAGTCGTGTTCTCACAGTTAGTTGCTCACCAGTAGTATGCGTGCGTAAAGGCACCACTGTTGCTCGCTTCCTCCTTCGGGCCGAGGCGGCGCCCAGATTCCTCCCAGAGCAGAAGTCCACAGCAGAAGTGTACTCGACGTAGGGGTTGTGGTGTGCACGTGTGCTGCTGTGCACGTCCTCGCTGCGGTGTGCGCAGGCGCTCCCGTGAACGCGGCTGCTGCGGTGGGTGTGCGCAGGCGCCATGGTGCACGAAAGCAACAAGGAGGAGGAGGAGGAGGAGGAGGAGGAGGAGGAGGAGGAGGAGGAGGACAGTGTTGTACACGCAGGAGTTGCGGTGCACACGGGCGCTGTGCTGCACGCGGACACGCCGGTGCGCCTTGCGGTGCATGCCGTGGTGCGCACGGGCGCTGCGGTGCCGGAGCCAGACGGCGGGCGGGGGACGTCACGTCAGGCCCCCCCCCTAGCTTGCCCTCCCCCCTGCCCCCACGACGCCAGGGCATGTGAGGGCGCTCTTGGTCGGGCCGCCTCACGCATTCGGATGCCGCATTTGGGGGGCTTTTGAGCCGTCTTCGGGGCGCCTTTGGGCTCTCCTGGGCCGTCTTGGGCGCCGTCGTGGGGCCGCCTCTGAAGGCCGAAAAAGGCACATTTCGGAGCGGCAAAGAAGAACCGCAGGAACTCCCTGCGGACCCCTTGGAGCCTTCTTGGGGCATTGTGCCTCTCGGGCCGTCTTGGGGCCACCTTGGTTCGTCTTGGGGCCAGCTCGCGTCACTGGAAACCTACGGGAGGTCGAACAGTTATCCTCAAGTCCAGCGCGCCACACACCACTCACCCCTCCTCCTCCTTCTCGGAGCCGCACATCTGTGCACGGTACCGCGCTGGAGCGAGGTCTGATGGCAGGGTCGGACGAAGGGGGCCAGAGGAGGGAAAGGTACCCATACCGCTACCCTTCCCTCGTCTTCCCCCTTGTGGGCTTCCCGGGCGGCCCTCGGTCGCCACCGCTGCGTCGCCTCGAAATCCCAGGTGGCACGCACTCCAGGAGAGGTCCGGGGAGCAGCCGTAGTGGTACCTGTTGGTTTCCTCGGTGGGGGGGTCGGAGTGGGGGACCGGAAGGGGGGACCGGGAAAGGGGGGGGTCGGAGTGGAAACGGAGGGCAGGTCGGTACCAAGGGGGGACCGGGAAAGGGGGGGGTTGGAGTCTGCCTCGTGCGGCCGGTTTCGGCTCCCCACCTGGCGCCTTCGCCGATGCTGCCTCGGCGCCGCTCGGCGGCGGGACATGGGCTACGCTCAGGAGGGGAAAAGACGTACTGACACAGTGAATCGGCGATTCCCAGGAAAATGTGGAGAACTATGGGAAGTGGGGGGGGAGACGAAAACCCAGAACACATGGGAAACTATGGGGAAATCTGGGATGTGTGTCTATTTCGTTGTGTCCCAGGGCCCCTTTAACTGCGTGATCGGACCTTTACCAGCCCCCCGTTTCGTCCGGCCCGAGCCGTTCGGCGCCGATCCTAGGAGCCCGCGAGGATCTCCGAAAGCTGATGCTCATGCAGTCGTTCATTGTTCACCAAGCCACCCCAGCCCAACCTGAAGTCCCCGATCTGCCCTCCATTTCCAGTGGGGCGGGGGGGGGGGTCGGGGAACAGTGAAAAAGCTCGTGTGGAACCCGTACCCCCCCCAGCCCGAAATTCGGGTCTTCGGGTTAGGTTTAAGTCGGGCGCGTCCCTTTACAGGAGGAACATTCAAAAATAGTCAAAAGATAGTCTGGGGACGATTTCTACCTAACAGCGAAGACTGATAGGTTTCTAGTAGCGTCAAAAGAGAGCATCTTGACTCCCAGGGGGGTCTGGGCGGGTGCCGGGGACAACCCGCGGAAGTAGTTTTAAGCAAACAGTTACACACTTCGTGGTCTTCGAGGTCCCAGAACTCCATTCCTGGGCATGATTTTGAATGCCCGGAGCCAACTGTAGGCCACTTCGTGTTCGTGTTCCCAGAACACCATTCCCGGGCCACATTTTGAATGCCCGGAGCCAACTGTAGGCCACTTCGTGTTCTTCGTGTTCCCAGAACATTATTCCCGGGCCACATTTTGAATGCCCGGGGCCAATTGTAGACCACTTCGTGTTCTTCGTGTTCCCAGAACATTATTCCCGGGTCACATGTTGAATGCCCGGAGCCAATTGTAGGCCACTTCGTGTTCTTCGCGTTCCCAGAACACCATTCCCAGGCTACATTTTGATTGCCCGGAGCCAACTGAGGCTGAGGCTGAGGCAGGCTGAGGCTGAGGCAGGCTGAGACTGAGCCTGAGGCAGGCTGATGCTGAGGCTGAGGCTGATGCAGGCTGATGCTGAGAGGCTGGACGCTGAAGGTGAGGCAGGCTGAGACTGAGCCTGAGGCAGGCTGAGGATGATGCAGGCTGAGGCTGAGAGGCTGGACGCTGAGGATGAGGGAAGCCTGAGGCTGAGGTGAGGCCGAGTCAGGATTGAGGCTGCGGCTGAGGCAAAAAGTCGAGGCACAGACTGAGGCTTTGATTGAGGCTGAAGCTGAGGCAGGCTTGAGGCGAGGATGAGGCTTGTGTGAGGGCTGAGGCAAGATGCGGATGAGGGCAGGCTGAGGCTGAGGCTGATGCAGGCTGATGCTGAG